TACAATGAAAGTTGGAAGAAGACATCACAATATAATTCAGGTTATTTACGAACATATTTTAGTTATTAACAGCCGCCGAAAACTTTCAGCAGCCCAGATGCTCAATCCAGAAAAATGTACTAGAAACGTAGTTTAATCTGTGCAGTAATTTATGCTATAATATACCACTCCACTACACTAGTTATGACTGCTATACAACATACTGAAATGTTTGATACAGATTTCAGTACTGAATTGTGCTTAGGGCTCAGAAAGCCGGTACATACAGGTTTAGTAACCTACAGTCAGCAGGCAGGAAAAATCCATGTGAAGAGCCCCAACAAAGTAAAAGACGTGATTATTACTTTGAACTGCTCTCCATGTATCAAGTGTTCAACAGTTTGATATAACAAAAAACAGCCAAGAACAATTCCAGTACAAACCATACTAAATGGGATTAGAAAGACCTGTGCATGTGACAAAAACCACTTAGTTATGCTATTAGGCTGATAGAAGAAAATCCCCCCTCCAATTCCCAACTATTTTCTTTATCCTGTAGGGGGAAAAAAATTAAAAATTACAAGTGAAAGTAATCAGTAATTGAAGCAACAAAGCAACTGAAAGCTGTGAGATCTAAGAAAGGTTAACACAGAACTTAAAGAAAAATTAAGTTCAGAATAAACTAAATCCTGCCTCAAAGTTAATTCATCCAAATATTTGAGGCCAAAGAAGGTTGCTGAGACTGCAAAGATCAAGAGAAATCCACAAGTCTGTCTTCAAAACATAACTCACATTTATCAATACTAAAGACTGACGCAAATCTTTTTCAATGAATGAATAACCAGTTGTCCACGTGTCATTTTAAGCTGTTGAATTCAGTAACCCTTTTGGACTGGAGAAGGGACGTGTCCCTTGTCTGTTGAGCCGCGCGCAGGCGTGCGGTCCCTCCTCATTCAATTACTGAGCGCACACCTAAACACCACCTGCCATCCCTCCCCACCCCAGCGCAGGCTGGGGCAGCCATCTACTGCAGCATCCGTCTCTCTCCAATTCATCACCGTCAGCTTTCCTGCTGACACTCTTCAGGGCTGCCTGGCTGATGAATGGCTCTGTTATTCATCCTATGTTAATCCCAGGCTGACGCAAGAATACCTTGCTGAAGACACTTAACAGTATTAAAGCTCAGCACTAGCAAGTGCCCCCAGTGTGCATTAAACCTCCCATTTGGAACCAACATGATTCCTCATGAATAGCTATGAATAACATACAGTTACTAAATCAATAGGCACTAAGTTTATGTACCCCATCACCCAGAGACAAAACTTCCACATAGTCCTTTTCTTCCCTGGAAGCTACACCTCAATTATTGGAAGTCGGGAACACTTTGATCCATACAGAATTTAACCTCAATTAACCCTATAATTAAGATGATATAGAGAAGTTTTCCCCCTCCTCCCCCTCAAAATGTCAGTATACATCTTAAATGCCACAGGTCTCAAAAAAATTTTTGACGTTTGTAACTTGAATAAGCTTTACTCAAGAAAGTAAGTTTTATACTTTTTCTCCCTTTTAAGAGGGATCTGATCTTTAGGTTATGTTTTTTTCTGGTAGTTTGGAGTTTTTTCATAAAGGATTATGCTTGTCAGAAAAATAAAAGTTATGCACAGAATGAACACAAAACCACTGCAAGAAATTTCAAAATATGACTCTAATGTCTGTAAACATGTTATTACAACAGCCAAAGATAAATCCCTTCTAAACACAATTACCGTCACTGATTTTATACCTGAGATACTAAAGTATCATTCGTCCTCTGAAGATGTTTTAATACACAGATAATCAATCTTCCTGATAGAATCTTCATTTAGAATTCATTTCCCCTACCACATCATCCGTGCTCAGATTTTGCTCAAGTCTATTTGAGCACAAAGTTAACATAACTACATGAAAAGTGGGAACAAAAGAACGTGCGTAACAAGTTTTGCTTCAGGTTGATTCAGAGGCAGTATCAGATTTCCATAAAAGCCTCAAGTGATTTAAAGCAGCAGTAATTCCCCCGTAAACTGACTGCATATGAGCCTCTCTGACTACACTTATCTTTATAGATGATAAGATACTTAAGCAATTAAAGAACTATCAACAACTTGTCTCTAGCAGTGTCTAACACACACCACGTTCTCACTGCACAGCCAATCTTCACAGCAAAAACATCGCACTTTAAACAAGACAGCTGGGCCTATTACAGCATTTTAACCTTCAACTTTAACACACAAACCAACTGTTACGGGAACACGCCTGACAACAGATTGTACATGTAGTATTTAGGCAAAGTTATTTTGTAAGTTTGGGCGGGGGCTGACGACTGCGACAACTTTCTGAGAAATCGTCCATGTTGCTTTATGCTGAAGGGGTGCTCCTTCAAAATTAGACAAACTGAAACTAACTAAAAGCAGTATGATCAGCAACACTGCTCAAAAGCAAACAGCAGCGGGTCAGAGAATTTTTGTCTTGTGTTCTCCTCCCTGTTCCTGCAGAGAAACCTAAGATATTCACAAAGAGAAGGGGATTTGGCCTGCTCTGCATCTAAAATTTGAACATTTTTATATAATTATTTTATATATTTATTATCAACTTTTAATATATTTATTTGCAGGTTATTAGATTAAGCTGCATTGAGAAGAATATTAACTGATTTGCTAACTGCTTCAAAGTCTGATAAATAAATGGAAGCCTTATGCAACATGAGCTGAATGTTTTAGTTTAGCTGCCATTTAAGCTTATGAACCAGAACATCAGGGTTGTATTAACACTTGTGCTAGCAGATCTGTCGCTTATTTTTTTAAATTTCAGGCACCTGCAATCTCCTGCATATTAATGAAAAAAATATACTGTACCTAGGAAAGGACATTTTGATCAACTAAAGGCTACAGAGATTTCTAAATCAGTTCTTTAATCGGAATTAGGAAAAACCCACAAAGGTTCATTATTTCAACAGCTAAAGGGTTTAAAGAATTCAGCAAAGTCTGACTTCCATCTAGTGTCAGCTAGTCTGCAAATAAGTACATCCTTAAAATTCTGAATGGACTAGATGCACAATCAGTTGACATCAATTAGGAGCTTCAGACTTTTAAGTAAATGTTTAAGCAAATGCATTTCTCTCCCCAAGGCGCTGCTCTACATCTTCAGTATCGAGCCACCTCAGCCACCGTGCCAGCACAGCTGCTCTGAGATCACACAGGGAGCGAGATCACAGCTCTGATCCATCTGAAAAGCAAGCCAGCACCACACAAAAACAAACTCAAAAAAACCCTGACCGGTACAGAATATCAGCTGACCTTTTAAGTCAGAAAGTGATCCACCAGATAAGAGTATAAAGTACTGCATTATCTCCCCCTGCCTCTGCTCTGACATCAGCAGCCACTCTGATGCATTGCTCCCTCGATTACCTAGAAGTAATTTCCCAGCAAAGTAACAAGATTTTAATTGTTTGTCATGCCGGGATGCTTTTACTTTTGAAATCAAGTCTTAAAGAAACAGCAACATTTGTAAGGTTATACAACTGAAGTGTTCACTGTTCCAACTGCGAACACCCTCAGATTTCAGTGAGTTATCACACAAATTGTTTCATGGCTTATCCCTTCTAAAAAAGGGTATCCTGAGGACTTTCCCGCATGGGCACTTCCTGGAGCGCTGCAATTACAGTACACAGTATCAAAACCTGGCTCTAATATGGCCTGTGCTGAAAACACAGAAAATCCCTCCAACTACAGAAAGGAGTAAAGTAAAAGTATTCAAGTGCAGCAGCAAAACAGTTAAAAACATTTTTAAAAGCAATTTAAAAAATTTACTTCCAGGGCGCTACTCAACTATGCACCACCAAAATCATTAAAACATCAATAGCTACCTACTGCCATCCATTACCCTTCAAGAGAATGATTTTTTGCACTGAACTGAAAAGTAAAATTTACTATTTGACACCAAGTACAAAAAAAAATAAATCAATTTTCAAATTAAAAGTAACTGAAAATGTATTTTCAATTTCTACCCGCTCTTTCAAACCACAAGAATAAAACAAATAAAAAACCCTTTTCGCATTACCACACTCATTCCAACCACTAACACTGCTAAAACAACTGCAAAGATCAAAAAAGCTGCAACTTCTAGTGCCGAACTCGGACAACAGAGGTTTAAGTAACACAACTCCACTCTAACTTGCATTGTCTTGCTGTTCTCAGACATGCAGCTAGTCTGCAAAAGACACTTTCTAATGGAAGCAAGAATAACAAAGTGGAAAGGCAGTTCTGCTAACAAAGCCAGATATTATTTCTCTTTGGTGCTGTCACAGCTGTTTTGTTCATTCATGCATAAATCGTCTCAAAAATTTAAGCTTTGCTATTAAAAAGCTGTCTCCACTTCTATTAAACCTTTCCAAGAAAAACAACCAAAAGAAACAAAAACCTGGATGTTACTTTAATTGCATTGTACAGGGTTATACAGGATATTTTCTTAAGTCAAAAGTAAAAATGTAATATTGCCTACCTTTCAGCAACCCCACTCTTTTTCTTAGCAAAGCAAAGGTATATAATTCAGACTATACACATTACACCTATTACCTATTTCAGGATTCAAACAGTAATTTCAATGTCCCTCACAGACACAGATCCTCCTGCAAGCAAGACACACATGTAGCTTGTGTGGTACTTCTACTGACCTAACCAACTGCATATTGAGATTAAAAACACAAGCAGTTTTACTGTTCCTAGTAGTTTCCTAGCACTGGGTTATTAAATTTCAATGAAATGTTAAAATCAACAGGAGATTTTTGGAGTATGCATTCTGACTAAAATCAATACAGGAAAATTCACACGGCCGGAATGAGAAGTTGTGAGTTATGTTTCAATAAAGACAAGGGTCAGTGAATGAGGGCATTTCATTAGTTAACAGCTTTCCTGGCAAGGCATTTCCCCCATCTCCCCCCTCTCCCACCTCCCAACATTCCGTATAAGCAGTCAAATACAAACCATCAGTTTCCATGGCAGACTCCTGCTGTACTTCAATCAGCCTGAGCTGTCAGGACGGTCTAGTAATTAACATTAACACAGGTCTATCCTGTCAGCCACAGAAATACACCAGCATCTAATAATACATCTAACTAATAGGATACCTGCATCAGGGTGCATTCCCAAAAAGGGACAACACTTTATGGTTACAGACAGCAATTGAAGACAATTCAAATGTACTTGCTCTTCTAATGAAGTCTACACAATTCAAATCATTGTAAGCATCCCATTCCTGACCTGGCATTGCAGAGTGTACTCAGAGGAAAAAGGTTTTAATCTGAGAATGACTGAAACAGACAACCTGGTCAAAAACATCACTAACCCACAGAAGTGACCACCCATTTCATGTCTAGCCTTCTCTTCACACCCACAGCACTCATCGAACATCAGCAACTTCTTTCTATCTGCTGATGCATGTAAATTTCATTTTCATAATCAGGACATTCTAAGTGCTCTCTTAAAATCTATAGCGTTTTTCTCAGTTGGTGTTGGTTGTTTCAGGGGTTTTTTTCCAATTTTACTATAATATTAACCAACACATCTCCAGTTCTTCCCCTTGTGCGCCACAAAAGCACTGCATGCCACTCCCTAATCTAATCCGCACTTGGTCAGTTGTTTCTAACCATAGCAAGGGATTTTTATACGACACCACTTATTTTAGAAATGACTGCATTCAGTTTCAGAGGAGGAAAATGCAACTCAATTGCAATCTTAATGAACAAGTTTCACTAAACAAAAACATTAAATTCAAACAGGCCTCTCCCAGTTCAACAAGTCAGCCACTCCTGTACAGAACTAAGTCTAATGCGATGACTCTTATGTAAAAAAAAAATTAAAAATCTGAAGACAAATATTTTAACTATTAATTAATTATTGGTAAGCAACAGGGAAAAGACCACTTTCAAAGTATGAGCTTAAAATAACTGTTTTACTAACTTAAAACTTGAATCAGTTAAAAAATACCCTTTTATTTAGTTACTTGCCAGGTGACTGCAATCCTATAAATGTTGCAGATAAAGCTCCAAAAATAATGTAATTTAAAAAGAACGGAACTGTCACCATTTTAAATATTTTTCCACAAGGCAAAAAAACTGCCACACTGTTTCTTAAGTTCAATGCAGCTTTTTGGTTTGGCATTGCAAGAGGCTGTGCCAAGGTATTAAAGCCACTCCCTCCCTCCCGCCAAAAAATAACCAAACACCCACACCTCAAAATAGCTCTTACAAGGTTTCTGAATACAAGTTCTAGAAGCATTACAACATTCATAAATCAGAAAAACACCTCAGACCATTAAGTTTTAAGAGATAATTAAAGAACCAAACTCAAAAGAGTACTAACAATAAACAGCACACAAGCAATACTCCATGCTCTTGTGGCACGCTGCTTTGCCAATTTTAACATTAATACGCTAAGTTTAAAAACCAGTCTGAGACTATCTGGGCAAACATCTTTTGTAAGGCCTTTATCCCAAAGAATATTTATCCCTGAATATTGCACTAAGAAGCACATTTTCAATGAATTAATGGGGGTCCATTGCAAGATCTGATACAACTGAAAAAACCGACGCGCTTATGTGGCCAGTGCCCCTCCCTCAAATCTGACAAGTCAGCAAAACCCTAGCTAAGCACAGGCTACATTTACATAATCACAAACAATAAGGTCATGTACAAAAGTAACTAGATAACTTTCCAGGGAGAACTCATTTACAACACCAGAACACAGTTCTTCAGCTCTGTTTCACACAGACGTGGTGCTTAACACAACCAGACCGACACAAAAACTGCACTTCGGGCACTAAGCTCCCCGAGTTCACATGCACTTTTTCTCTCAGTGAGGAAACTAAACAGAGAGAGCAACATTCACCGAAAATTTACCCTCATATTGCCTACTGGATGTTTTACACTAGCTTTGTTAAACTTGGTAGACCGAAAGAGGCAGCCTATTTGATACAAAATTAGATTTATCTCAAATAGCCAGATGCATGGTTAAATTTACATTTAAAGGTAGACAGGCTTGTAAGTCACCTTCAACATAGCTTTGAAGGAAAGACATAAGTTTTTCAGGGATAGGTTACTAAGGAAAAATGAATTCTTGATAAGGTTCTCTTCAATCTCTTTTTGAAAACAGTTCAGACCACAGGTCTCATCTGTGTACATTCCGATCAGGTGCAAGAGTCTGTGCACTTACAGGTTCAAGAAAACAAAATGTAAATTTACAAATTAGACTCCTCAGATTCCAGTTAATAGTTCAGGCACATTTATTCATAGTCTGATTTAAGAATACAACTGAAGTACCTCATTAATTTCAATCTGTCAACATGCTACTGAGGAGTTTGAAATGTCCAATTCAGTTTTTAAAAACAGTGCAAGAAAACAGCTACAGCTCTCTTCACTGTCCACAAAGGGGAGCATTAAAATATATAAGTTGTCAGGAAAAAAAAAATCCAGGTTAACATCATAAAAGTTAGTATCTCAAAAGCTTAAGCAAAAAAAAAAAAAAAATCAAAAAAAATCAGGTCACATTTGATGGTGCAAACAATTACAGGAAATACAGCCTATTCCACATTCAGGAAAAGCCCTCTCTTCCCACAGGTTTGCACCAGTCTGATAAAAACAATTCAGCTTCCTAGTTATTATGATGTGCTCTTTAAACATCCTTGTTAATCCACAGAAGACTTATTTACACATAACAAGTTAAAAGCACACATATGGAAAAATAACTGTAACCTAAACAGAACTGTAACTTTCACATTTTATGAAAGCAGTTCTTAAAAAAAGGTTTCCTCAATACACTTCTTACATTTAAGCTAATCTTCAAAAACAAATGCTGCAAGACAGAGATCATCTATCAAATTAAGCAGTAAGATTTTCTGAGATCAAAAAGTAGGGTAGAGTTCAGAAAGGAAAACATGCTTTGGATAATACACACAGCATAGAAATGGACTCCAAAAAAGCAGATGTACATTCTGTAAATGAACCAGATTAGATGTACTGCTCACCTAAACCCACAGGTCTCTTTCTATCTATTGCTGCCTACAACTACAAGAAGTAACCACAGCAGAAGCCCATTTGAGTTCTCTTTTTAAATACTGGCATGTAACAATAAATAATTAATAATAAAAAAAAACTAACCTAGCATTCCAGTAGGGAAGGCAATCCCACCTTTTATTTGTTTGAATTCTTAGGGTTGTGACTTTATTTCTTCATTTTGATCAGCACACAAAATAAAAGACAATGGCTGATCATAATATTATTCTTTTCAAGAATAAACAAAACCTTCAGGAAAATGGTTGTATTATAACAAAAAAAAAATAAAAGAAAACGAAAACCTACCTAAAGCACACAACAACAAACTAGAGGAAGCAAATCAAATGACAGGGTGGAGGGGGCAAAGAGGGAATGTGAACCCTGTAGCTTTATTTTTAGATTCTATATACCTATATATACACGCACTTGCCCCAAATACTTGGTATTCTCAAGGGTGCCAGCAAACAACTGATGAAACCTTGAAATAATACACTTTTCAGTAAGCACATTAAATCCTGCAGACTTTCCCAGCAAACCTGTAGTTTGCTATTACTGAACCCTTCTGCTGGAGGATGTCAGCGGAGCACACAGTTCAGGATATTTAACACAGCCCCCACTGGTAAGCAGGATAGGTGTTTTACAGGGAAACAGTTGTTCCAACTCCTCAGCTGTTCACTGCTACTGCCTATTCCACCGATGTAATACCGCCTGTAAGCACACAATACGTGGAGGTCCATGCAAACACAGATACCTGCACAAATCCACCATTATTTTGTCATTCTTTGGCGTCTTCTACCAGACTTGATCATTTTACTGCCCGAATCAATAGCGGTGCTCGCGGACACACGCCTCAGAAAAAAAAATAACTGGCGCCCCTTAGTGTTCAAATTCTGAAGTCTTGAAGCAATTTACTAGATTTGCATGAAACTTTTTTTTTCAACATTCCAAAAAGTTTTCTGCCTCCACAATACTTCCACCCATTTGCCAACGTAAACAGGAAAAGCAGAAAAGCTTAAAGGGATAGCAGGCTTCTTCCAGAGACCATTTAGGAACACAGATTATATTTTATTTGCTTTTCTTTTGAAGACCAGAGCGAAGAATAGTTCCAACGCAGTCCTTAAACTTTTGTAAGCAAGAGTCACGAGAGTCCTCGTTTTGGAACTCCAATACTTTGCAAACAGACTTCCAGTGTTTTCAGTATTTCAAAATATATAAAAAGACATAAGTATTTTGGGAATTTCTTTTTCACTGTCCTTTTTGCGTCGGGAAATGTTTTTCTTCCTTTTGTTCTCTGAAAAAAAACAACAGCTTCAGGCCTCCTCTGGCCAAATACATACAGTTGAAGAGATTCAAGAATTTAAAAATCCGTGATCAAACCTCTGGAAGGTTCATTTGTCCTATAAAGAAGGAGTCTTCCCGGTCAAATTTCTTCTTGATGTTTATTGTAAATCTAACTATTCCAAAGAGTCTGCTCACTGTGGTGACCAAGAACGTAAGTTCTAAAATAGTTCTGCTCTTCACGTCCATACTTGCTCCCATATAAATTCAAACTCCTCCAAGTATCTTGCAAATAAAAATAGACTCTCCCATTATAATGCTTCCCACAATCCGGATTCTTCACCGTTTGTTTGGGTTTCTTTAAATTCCTCTATCACTTATTTCAGAAGGTAGCATTTTCTCGACATGCTATTTTTACGTCGTACTACAGTCGCTATCTCATTTTTACAGTCTTGGCAGAGGGCGGGGAGCTGTTCTACCAAATATAACCAGTTCTTTCATCTTCCGAGGTCAACAACTTCCCAAACTTCTTTTAGCGAAGAGGAATACATCCGCAAACAAGAACCCTAACTCAAAATCTCGAAAATCAGTACTTTGTACTAACAAACCCAACAAGTTCAAACTGTATAAATTATTTATGGTCATATCATATTCTACAAAGCTACCAAATACGATTAAACAAACAGGTCTAAGTCTCCAGAAAGCCTAGGTTTAAAGACATAAAAAAAGAAATGCCTTCGACAAGAAAAACAAACCTGTGAACCCGAATACAAGGCGAATTTAACATACTAAGAACAAGTGTTTCACCTAATTTTTGATACACAGTGGGTCTGTTACTGCAGTGGGAAAAAGTATGGGACACAGGAAGTTCCCAGCTCGTACTTTTCTTGGTAATTTCTAAACCGTGATTGTTTATTTGTGAAATCTTAACCCTAAACAAAGTTACTAGGGGAAAAACTGGGGGCGTAGGGGGGGCCTCGCCCCGTGCCAGGAGAGGGTGCGAGGCTGGGGTGGACGTTTGGCAGGAGCAGACCAGGCAATTTCGTAACCCTTTTTGTTTCTCCCCCTTCACTAAAAGTCACACGTAGGAGTCTTTCAAGTTCAGTTTCTTTAAAAGGTAAGGATAGCTGAGACAAGAATTTGCTCCCTTCCCTTGCGATATAGGAAAATCATAATTAGTTTGCGGCCAGTTCGGGGTGGGGTAGATCTGGAGCAGAAGAAAGAGCTCAGCCCCCCTCCGCCTTAGTCATTCAAGTCCAAGCAAGAGCCAAATCTCGAAACCAAACACCCGCCGCCCCCTCGGCGGGGGCCCTGGGGCCGGGCGGCGGAGCGCTCCGAGGGCGCCGGCAGGACCCCAGTGTCCCCCGCCGCCGCGGGAGGGAGCGATGGAGGGAGGGGAGCGCCAGCCGCCAGCCAGCCTTTCCCCTCCTCCCTGCCTTCCCCCAGAGCGCATTCCTGAGCTCCTCTCCTCGCTCCCTCCCCTCCGTGCTGTAGTTACCCTTCCCCCGGTTTAAGGAGATAGTGCGGAAAAGGGTAAAAAGAAAAAGAAGGAAAAATAAAGGGGAAAACCCCCCGGGGGGATCGGGGACCCG